AGTATATTATCACTCAATAAGAATATATTCAGGTAGAATTTAATGATGGAAAATTGTAGAATGTAGTCATGATGATAGGAAGAAGAAATGGTAGAAAAACTAACAAAATGATCATTTAAATTTTATTTATTTTTAATGTATGACATCAACAATTCAGGGAACAATTTGTAATGAGATTACAAACTTCGGGGAGGGGAATGCAATTTTTTAAATGTGGAGGAGGGATCTATATTAAATAGAAACCTCAAGAGGTGTCAATGTAATTTACCCTAAAATAATAGTAACTTTTTAATGAAAGATAAAAGGAGTAAATTACACTTATCTCCCTTGAAATTTTAAAAAAAATGCGATTACTCTCACATTTTTTTATATAATTACTTTGGTTATACTTAAAATTTTAATTCACATAATAATTAAATTATTTTTCTTAATAATTTGTTAGTTGTATAAATAAAAAATGATATTATCATTAATTTATTTTCTACTAATATATATATCTTTATTTATTTCAATTTTTATCCAACATAATATATATTAGTTTTGGTCATTTTAACATTATTAAAGAGAGACCAGTGTAATTATATTGAAAGTGTAGGCCTAGTTGTATTTTTCTCAAATCTTAAAGGAAGTGAATGTAATTTATTTTAAAAAAAATTTATTGTAACATTTAACTTGGAAAAAATTACAAGAAAGTCTTACCACAGAATAAATTCTAAAATTTTAATTTTGACAATTTAAATCATAATATTTTGATTTGTTTTCAATCTAAGTCATCTGTCTATTTTCATTAAGTAAACTAATTAAAAATATATATTTTAGTCATTGAATTTAATTTGTGTGTAAAAATATGTCTAAAATACAATTTTCTATTGAGTTTATTGACTAAAATATCATTTTATCTTTTATTTTATTTAAAAAAATAGGCAGATGATTTAAATTAAAAACAAATCCAAAAATTAAAATAGTCTAAGTAAAATATAATAAAAAATAATTTAAATATAATATAATATAATATAATATAATATAATTTAGTATTATCATGGTACATAATTTGAAAGGGCAAAAAATTCTATTGAGAAGTTATCATTCTTTCATAATTTCTTAACTAAACATTGAATTCAATAAATAAGTCATTTTTAGACATATAAGATGATCATTTTCAGATATTTAATCCCCATGACAAAATACATAGGGAAAATTAGTCTTACATCCTTATCCAACTTTTGGTAGTAGAAGAGCCACAATTTTTTTTTTTTTGCAGCCTAAGACCCTTCACCCGTTTTGAGCCACCATTGTCTTGCTGGCAACCTCAACCCTCTCTCTCTCTCTCTAACAACTTTGACTCCCCCATCTCCAACGATTTTGACACCTTGGTTCTCTTTCCATCTCTTATGTCTCTTTCTCTCTGCACTCTCTCTCTCCAATGGAATTGTAGAGTCGGTGATAATCCCACTTCGAAGACAAAACTATCTCTATAATGCAACCACCATCGCTAGATTGGAACGATATTTCAGAGCATCACCGCTATCGGATTCACTGTCATTGGCTTTGTCATTGTCGCCAGAAGTAACGACACCCGATAGTAGTAAGTGTGTGATCATCGCTTGTCACTTTAAAACACCTCTATCTTTCTATATATATATATATGATGTTTGCACAAATTGTTTGTCTCTAAGGTTTTGCTCGGTGCTTTACTTCAGACCTATATTCTTCTTTGCTTCAGACCCATCTTCTTTTTTAGCATCAGTGGGTTCCTTTTTAAGTTTTCACTCAAATCTCTCTGTTTTTATTTCTTGCCTTTCTTTCATATTGCGTTTTTGAAAATGTTGTCATAAATGCGTTCAATTGCTGAATTTTGATACTTTATAATTTTACATATTTCTTTGTGTTTTTTATATGTTTTTTGTGATTTCTAAATTTCTTAACATGACAATAATAGGTGACCAATGAAATTCCATACACATATGAACACACACTTAGAGAAATTTCATATGTCAAGGGAATTGTAACGTGGTCAGTGAAATTCAAATGCACAATAGAGTAGTAAGTGTGTGATGACCAGAGAAAATCAATATGTCAGAGAAATTTCATATCTCGATAGGAGTGTAATGTGTCCAATATCAATTTTTCAGAGAAATTCCATATCGCTGAAACTACTCTAAAACATATTTGAAATTTCTCTGTGCTAAAATTTCTCTGAAATTATCCAAAATGGTGTCAAAAGGCTTGGAGATGAAATGGGTGATATTGATGAAGCTGATGCTGAAACCTTCATTCAGGCATATGTCAATATAGTTACTGGAGCATGTATTTCTCTTGGTAAGTGATTATTTCTACACAGAGAAAATTGTGAGCAAAACAAAGAGAAATTCGTGAGCAAATCAAAGGAATTTCAATTCAGAGAAATTTGAAAACACATTGGATATACATCATTTTCAACTACACCCATACTAACAACCCGTTACATTGCAATTTTCTCTTACAACAATATTACATCCACATAAATTTTTTTCTCGAATCCCCCTAAATATGTTTCTAATTGACCAAAATCATTTTTTTACTAGTCGAAAACACATTTGAAGAGGATTTGGAAAAAAAAAATTATGTGGATGAATATTTTTGTTTTCTCTTATTCACAGGTGATTTAAGAATTCCTTATTAATTTTTTAACATTTTACAAAATATATATATATATATATATATAAATAAATATATCTCCAAACCACAAGTTTATCTATCTATGTTTATTTTCTCTCTGTGTTTTGGGAAAATTGGTTCTTTGGCTGTAAGTTCGGTTTGTAAAATTGTTCCGGCACTCTCGATATATCCCCAGAGAAATTCTCTGGGTTTGAACTAAAATTTCTCTGGATTGAACTAAATATATATGTTGTCCAGGAGTACTTGATAATATGTAATCGTGAAAGGTCCAATTTTTAGCTCTGTATGTAATTGCATTTGTTTTAAATTATTTTGATTTTCTTCCTGGATTTTGAACTCTACTGTACTTGTGTGATGCATCATTGTAGTGAAAATGCAACATGAAATTGTTTTGCATCTGTTTTGTACTAGCCTTAATAATGTAATAAATTTTGTGCTGAGAATTTTGATGCTTCATCACCTATATCAAACTTCAATTTGAGAGTAAGAAATTTGAAAATTTCTCTGACTCCATAGACCTTCCCACAAAATTACCACTCCAGAGAAATTTGAAAATTTCTCTGACTTCGCAGGCCTTCTTACAAAATTACCACTCCAGAGAAATTTGAAAATTTCTCTGACTTCACAGGCCTTCCTACAAAATTTCCACTCCAGAGAAATTTGAAAATTTCTCTACAACCTCCTTCAGTTGTGCATGTGTTAAGCACCGGACCAATCGACCTGCCAAAACCCGGGGCATAGACATATATGAATGAGAAAGTATGCAAATAGGACACCAACAAAATTGCAGCATAGATACAAGGGTGGGTGTGGGTTCTACACCACTCTGTTCTGTGAATTTTTACTGTATCCGTAGCAAAAATTGTTGAGAGATTATCCTTAATTATGTTGAGAATAAAAGTGTAATCCAGAAGATCATTACATTTTTTAGAAATCTATTATCAATATTTCTGTATCATGGAATCCACCTACTAAACTCCAACACTAGCATGTGTTGAATTATGTAATGTCAGAGCATTTATTCTATGTTGGTCTAGCATTGCTTGAAAAATGTTGCTCTTCAAAAAAATTTCTTTTTAATTAAAAAAATTCAGATATTTGTAACCCAAAGCTGTTGAAGATGCAAAAAACAGAGTAAAGAGTCATAAAAGACCAAAATGCAAGTGTGAATCATCTGAACAATAATCTAGAAGAAAGACATTGAAATTGTGTCAGTTGAAAATACAAAACTAAAAGATCTATTGGAACTGTAGCTGTAACTACATTTGTGTACAAACATCTCAAGTTTTTTATCGTTAACATTACAAGAAATTGGAATCATTTGATTTCCATTAACCAGAGGTATTTTCCAATCTCTGACAAGCCAGAGAAATACTCAGATTTTTCCAGAATTTCTCTGGTGCTGGTAAGTTGCCATTGTTATCCCATTCTAATGTTGCTTACATATTACAATGTGGAATTTTTCCAGTTGAATTTAGTTGAACAATGTTGCTTACCTAATGAATCACAATGATTTGGATGTGAATGAGAAGAAAAGTAGAGAAACTCATCCAGAGAAATTTGGTCCAGAGAAATTTCTCTGGGCCAGAATTTCTCTGACCAATTTTCTCTGCACTGAAATTTCTCTGGGCTAAATTTCTCTGGACTGAAATTTCTCTGGATCAAGGTTGAGGGACCTTACACATTATGAAAATATTGTTGAGGGACCTTAGACATTATGAAAATATTTGGTGTCCTTTATGCTATAAAATCATAATACCAGAGACCTTAAAAAAAAAACCCTATATATAAATAGAAAATAACATAATAACTTATAATAAATAAACTGCTTATTTAGATTATTACCATACCCCTTCAGTCAGTTCAACAACCCTGGGTAAAAACTGATTTTTTTCAACAAAACATGGAATATAATAATATATGAATATCCACGAAGATAAATAGAATAAACGAAAATATATACTAAGATTTAAAAAAAGGTTGCTATAAATTATAGCATTGCGCAGTTGATCTTCTTCACTAGTAGTGGTGCTTTTATTCAAATACTATTTCCCAACACTCACCCTCCACTTTCTCTCTCCTCTGTCTTCTCTCTTCTCTCCCTCCAGCTTAGGAGAGAGAAAGCTCTGGTTTTGGGGGAGAAGAGCAAACAAACAAACAAATAAACCCAAATTATACAAAGATATGTTTGCATCAGAGAATGGGTTGCGAGGAGACCCGAGATTGAAGGCCATATCAGAAGCCATTAGAGTCGTCCCTCACTTCCCAAAACCAGGTCTTCATTTTTATAGCTTTTTTGCTATCTGGGTCTGTGTTTATGTTTCAGGATTTTCATCGAACAGTTTATATACATCGCATTTGTCTCTGGGTTTTTTTGTTTTTTTTGGTTTATAGGAATAATGTTTCAAGACATAACAACTCTGTTATTGGACCACAAAGCTTTCAAGTACACTGTTGACATCTTTGTTGATCGATACAGAGACATGGGTATCTCCGTTGTAGCTGGTACTCTCTCTCTCTCTCTCTCTCTCTCTCTCTCTCTTTCTTCTTTAGAGAGAAAGGGTGTGTGTGTGTGTTAATTTTTTTTTTTGATTTTTGTTTCCCATATTTATCTCTGTTTTAGAGAGAAAAGAGTGAGAAACAGAGAGAGTTTATTCTATCCCTTTATTTAATTTTTAGGAAGCAAACTGTGGGAGTATTTGAGCATAATGGGATTTTAGTTTCTTTGTTTGTATGTTCATTTTTACCTGTTCCAATTTTGCTTCAAATAATTATTTTAAACTATTTTTTGGAATATTTTTGAACCCACAAAAAGAAATTATTAATATGTATATGAATTGTTGGAAATGAAGCTCCTTTTGTTTTGGCGAAAAATTCTTCCTGCGCAATTTTCCTGCATTTTTCATGGCCTAAATTTGTACATGAAGCCCAATGTTGGGTTTGAAGGCTTATAGGTGTTGCTGTCTCAGGATCTTGTGTCCCCTCCTTTTTTTTTTTTTTTTTTTCTTTTTCTTTTTGATAACCAGTGTTCGTGCCGGCTCGCACCCACCTCGACCAATCCGAGGACCTGAAGTTAACTACTAGCAAACCTTCAATGGCCCCTTGTTGGATCTTATCCTCAAATCTTTACCGCGGAGCAAACCCCTTGGGGTTCTTGAGTCCCCTCCTTGACTTGTTAACTTTATTATCCTTCAAGAGCAGAAGTTTGAACAGTAAATCTTGACACCTGTAAAAGAAAAGAAAAAGCTCAGTGATTGTCCTGATATATAATTTTTATTTTGTAATTTCATTTAGGTTGTGTTTGGATTTATGGATTTGAAATTAAAAGAGACTATTCATTCGAAGGGAATAACTCAGTTTTAGATTTGTTAATTACATGGGTTTTTTCAATATTGAATTCGAGAGTTTTGTCGTGATAGATTTGAAGTAACAATATAAAAGTAGTTATTTTAAATCTTCTATGACAAGGGTTCTTGTTCTATAAAACCAATCCCAATCAAGTGGGGTTAACTACATGAATCATTTTTGTGCATTAAGCTCTATCAAAGGCTATAGAATCATAATAAAAATAGTTCTCTTATGTCTCTAATTTGTTTTCCCTTCTAGTTTTTTAATCACCTATTATAGGTTAATTGCTTATATTTTTACAAAATTCGACCTTAAATTCCCATTTGAAATCCATCCAACTGGAGGCCTAGTTTCTTAATCTAAATAAGATGTTTGGCTTAGCTAGCTTTTTAAATAAATTTGTTGCTGTACTTTAGAATCTTTTCGGGGTTGATTTGCATTTCTCTTGAATTGGCTTGATTTTAAACTGTCTTTATTGTTAGGTGTATTGTGATTCTTTCATTACCCCTTAGTTTAACAATATTTGTAATATACCTTTCTCGATTAATATGTCTTGTCTTGTCCACGTTTTTTATTTTTTATTTATTTATTTTGCAAATTTAACTTGTTCTTTTAATTAATATTAACTGCAGTTTGGTAGAAGGATGGCACGAAAGCTTATACGTGTTTCATAAACCATCATATTTACGACATAATGATTTTCACCTCCATTAGGATTTTCTTGCCCTAATAATATCTTTTTCTTGTAACTTTGTAGATAAAAAACTTTTCGTTTATCAAAAAGTAAGAAAAGATGGAATGTTATTGCAGTAAAGTTTTTATGACCATAGTTAAACAAAGCACTGAAAGTAATTTGTTATTATTTTTTTGGGTACTAATAACTAGAAAATACCTGAACTAGATCACAGATTTAAAGTTGGAAATAATGCTCAAGTCAAATTGATGAGGACTGTGGACAGGAATATTTCAGACATTTTTTTTTAAAAAAATTCTCTCTTAAAAGATGAAAATTTGAAAAGCTCAACCATGTTAATGTTTTTAGTGATCAACAGTCTGATGAAATGGACAAGCACATGCAAAAGTCCTTCCCATTTGGCATTTAGGACAAGTTTGGATTGCTGAAATTTTGGGGAGAAACTTACAAATTAAAAGCATTGCCACTAGTTGATAATCTATTTTTTTTATGAACCTTTATTTAGAAAAAACAAATAAATTGAAATATGACCCTACTAGGCACTATCTTATGTGTCTGACTCATAAAATTCACTCTTTTAATTGCTATTTTACTTTTATGTAATATTATATTGGTTCAGATAAGAAATTGCGTTGTAACTCCTTTAAACTGGTTCTTTCTGCATATTTTAATGCTATTAAATTACGTTTTAGGAGTTGAAGCTAGAGGATTTATGTTTGGTCCTTCGATTGCGTTGGCAATTGGTGCAAAATTTGTTCCACTGCGTAAACCAAAAAAGTTGCCAGGTATGCTTCTAGACTTCAATTTGTTATTTCTCTTGAAATTGAAACCCAATTGTTATTATCTTGATGAAATTAGCAAATTAACTGTTGGTGATCTTTCTAAGTCGTGGAGGAACATCCTAAAAACCACCAAATTGGTTGAGTGACCAGAAGAAACACATGGGATATCCTCATATGCCCTTGGTGGGATTTAGATTTAGGCACCCATGCACGGCCTCTATTTGGCAATAGCTGAATGAGCTTCTTTCTGGCTGAAAAAGACAAAAGTAAAAATTATTTTATATATTTTATTTATCAAAAAAAAAAAAAAAGCCAAAAGTAAAAAGCATGTTTGCTTTTTGCTAAATAAGTAAGTGTAAAAAATGATAATTTCTCGCCAAAAAAACAAAAAAACAAAAACAAAAGTTTGAAAAGACACAAAACTTTCTGTATAACAAAAAAGCAATTTTTTTTATAACAATTACCAGATGCATTAAATTTTTTAGATTCTAAAAAAAGCAAAGGCGTTACTAAAAAACAATTGCCAAATCCACCTGAAGTTTTGCATCGGCATGTGTTTTAATAACTGTTTCTCAACTTTTCTAGCTTCTTTGTCAATTGAACCATTCCACTTCACTATAGTGCTAACAATTTAGTTACTAATATCAGTTCCTGCCTTCTACTAATTGAATTTTTCCTGACAAGTCTGAAGTAAAATTTTTGAATTTTGTAATATTTAGGGGAAGTTATCTCTGAAAAGTATGAGCTCGAGTATGGTACTGATTGTTTAGAGATGCACCTTGGGGCTGTTCAACCCAGGGAACGTGTGTTGGTCATTGATGATTTAGTGGCTACAGGGGGGACCCTATCTGCAGCAATAAGGCTTTTAGGTAACATCTGGATCTTATTTCATGATCTTGCTCTCTCAGTTCAGTATGTGTATTTCTAGTTTCATCTGGTTTCTTAGCTCTCTAACAGAACTAATGTGCTCGGAATTGTTATTAACTAGAACGTGTTGGGGCTGAAGTAGTTGAATGTGCATGTGTTATTGGGTTGCCAGAGGTCAAGGTAATGCTTCATACATTCTGTGTGTGATTTACCTTTGTTTATTAATTAGTACATAATACAACGTAGTTTTCACTGCTATTGAAACATTCTGGTAATTCTGTTTCTTTAATGTGTAAATTATATAATAATAATAGTATCAAATTTTATTTGTCCTATTTTTTTCTCGTTGCTTTGTTTTCTTGTACAATAGATAAACTTCAAACATTGTTGAGAGTTAGATTATTGTTCCTCTTCGACACCATCATTATAAAACTGAAAAATATGACTTAGTAAGTGTGCGATTATGTATAAAAAAATACTAACTGCTTTGCTTCTTGCTAGATGATAGGATATTCTTGCATTGAGTTACCTAATGACAGTGAAGTTGGTAGATGGATCTTTGGTTAGATATCAATATCAAAGTGCACAAAGTCCATTGGCATTTCTCTAGGAAGTGAATTTCTCCCTCACATCTCTATATTTTTAGTGGCCCTTTGATATTATGTCTGTTGTACGATTGGACAAACATAATAGGTTTCAGAAGATTAAAACAAAGACTACAGCAAACCTATTTGGACTAAATGGAAGTGTTTGTGGAGTCTTCTTATCTTTAGTTGAAGTAGTATATGGTTGATCTGATTAATCTCTGTTACACAAGTCTTAGAAGTCCGGATATTTATTAGTTTTAAACTTTACCATATTCTAGTATGGCTTCATTAGTCTTGTTTGGGTCAACGGTCAAGTAATGTTAATGGCTTTTCAGCAAGTAGTCTTTAATAGGTTTAGAATAGTCTTGGTGGACAAAAGTCAAATTTTTCCATTTTGATGTTGTACTGTAGAACTTAGTTATCCTAACACTTATAGGCTATAAATAGATACATCTCTAAAAAGTAAGAAATAAAAATTGACTAAAATATGAAAAAAGTTTAATAAAAATAAATGAAAATTCGTTTAAAAACAGTTTTTCAAAAATCATACCAAACATAGTCAGAGTTTTGATTCTCTAGTTGATTGAAGGTTGGCCAAAATATCCACCTAAACTGAATGGTTGAAGAAATGTCAAAGAAGGCCAAAAATAAATTTGATCATTTATATATCAGTTCATAATATTTTTTGGTATTTTAAAGATCTAAAGATCAAAAATAATATTTTTTGGTATTTGGATGACAAAATGAAGTATTGTAAATAAGAACCTAAAGATACAAGAAAAAATATAGAAAAATACAATATGGGGAAAAGTATATTACAAATAGGGGTGAGCACTTCAAAACTAATTACAAAAAATGGATACTTCTATTTACATCACAAATTTAACTCATCATATCCCTATTTTATTTTTTATTACAATTTTACCATCTTGTAAAATGACTTATAAGGACTAAAAACAATTTTAAAAAAATGTAAAATAGAATTCTTCTTTAAACCTCTTCTTTTTTCTTACCTATTTGTTCTCATCACCAACTACTACCCTTCTCCTCACCAACCAACCACCACCGCTATCCCTTCTCCTCCACCAACCATTGCCACCCTTTCTCTCCTTTTTCACTCTTTTCGTTCCTCTATGATTTATAAGACATTTTCCATAATAACATAAAGAACTAAATAATAAAAAATAGGGACAATTACAAAAAAAATCCTAGGGTTCGAGTCTTCTAATAGAATAAACCGTGAGTTTTCAATTGTATTAATTTAAACCCTAATCTTTTGATTTGTTTTTAATTTAACCATTCGCCTATTTTAGTTAAGTAAAATTGACAGAAAAAATGTATTTTAGTCATTAAACTCAATGTAGGTATGCATAAAATGTCTAAAATACACTTTTCATTGAGTTTAATGAATAAAAAACCCATTTTTTCATCGATTTTACTTTATGGAAATAGGCAAATGGTTTAGATTGAATACAAATCAAAAGTTTAGGGTAAAAACTCAAGGTTTATTTTGTTACAAGGCTCAAACATAGGGTTTTTTTTTTTTTTTTTTCCCGTCCCTTCAAAGTGATAAGAAAAGAAAAAAAAGAAGGGAACTCATAGTTAAAATATTTATGTGATGATTGTAAATAGATTGTATATAGGATTTTGTGTATAAGAGATGTCGTAGTGTGATGGAAGCTTCTTCCTCTGTGGAAAGGCAATCGAACAAGTATTTGTGCTTGCTTGGCATGTTGACTATGGATGAATATAATCACTTGTTATTCATAGTTACTTGACCTTATATATGTTATACATTTAGGTATTTAGACGTCTTTTTAATTGTATCATGCGGTTTTCAGCATTTGGACTTCAGAGCAATGTTTATTTATATATGATAAATATTGCTGTGTATAGTTCCATTGATTTTTCAATATGGGCCAAAAACTGTTATGGAAAAGGGAAATTGAAATAATACAAGCAGAAATTTGTTTAAATGATAATCCTGTGTGTATATGAATAGCCATTGTAGTTGCTGCCTATTAAAGCTTTGTTGAAGTTGATCATTGCAAGTAAAGCCTTAGTGATTCTTACACAAGAAGCCCATTTATTATGCAATTTAGACAAAAATGGAATTGTGCTGCTGGGATCTTGGGTAGAGACGGGGGATATTTTAGTAGGTAAATTAACGCCCCAGATGGTGAAAGAATTGGCATCCCATCACACCACTAATCAGGGGCGTTGGTGGTGACCAAGGGGGTCGCAAACCAAGAAGTGAGTATTCTTCTTCTCATTGCTCAAAGTGGGTAGGCTAACTATAACTGACATCATCAAACTCAAATAAAAGAGAACGAGCGAGATAGTGTTGCAATTATTGTGTGAACAGCATGTGCCTATTTGTCTTACTCAAATTTGGTCAAACTTGGAATGAATAGAGGCTTCATAGCTTACCCATCTCAAAATTTATCGTTGTTTTTTTTTTTTGGGTGAATAAAAATTTATCATTGTTATGACATCTAAAAACTCAGCGTAGTTGATATTAAAGGATTAAGCTAGGGACTGGGAGAAAGTTATCCATGGTTAGATGTCTCTTTCTAGTAAACTGGACCCACAATAAGTTCTAACCCAGTACTAATTTTTAGCTAGGAAAAGGTGCCGCTGTTACCAATTTTTTTAATTTTTCTTTCCAGATTGATTGTGTTTTGTTGTGTTGTTGACACTGAATCTAACTATTGCATCTTTTTCAGGGAGAGAGCAGGCTAAATGGAAAGCCACTATATGTCCTTGTTGAGCCTCGCCAGTAGACAATTTATGTGGTATTGTTCTTTTGTTCTTTACTCTTAATATTAATGAAGAAATGTTTATCCAGAAATCCTTATTTATTTGCACAATTGCACTGTTCTGTGAAATTATTTTAAATCATTATTTGCATTAGAAAATTTGATTGAACCCCTTATTGTTTACAACTTCATCCCTTAGTAAAATGTGAGAACATGTGTGTTCTGGACATTCCCTGAAAATCCAATGATATTGTTTGATTGTGTTTTTGTTTTTTTAAAAATAAAACCAATGATAATTGACTTGCAAAACTAATGGCGTTTCTTAAAAAGTGAGTTATTTTAAAATAAAAAATAAAAAATCTCATAATCAGTTTTCAAAAATATTTCGTCAAACAAATTTGTGTTTTTCAAAAAATAGAATAAAAATGAAAAACAAAATGCTTTTGCGCATCTCAAGATTTGATGTTCATGGTAGTGTATGACTATTCTGTTATATGTCCACTGAAGCTACATATCATAGTCGAGAATAATTTCCTTCCTGATTTACTCTCCAGAACCAAGAAAACAATTTGCCCTATTTGTTTCTGTCATTTCTTTTCTCGAACCTTTTAGACTTCCTCTCCAGCTCCAAATCAAAATCCTAGAAACAAATCCCCAATCTCAAGGTGTAGATCAACTAGCTTATGTCATGCCATGAAAATACATTTTATGTCACAGTTATAGTCCATTCCCTAACATGGAAAACGTGCGAGTCTTTGTACAAGAGATTTTGGCATCGTTTTACTATAATTCTGTCCGACATTTCTTGCTATTAATTTCTTTTATATTTATAATTAGGGTTATCTACTAGGAGCTACCTACAATGGAGCAGTTATGAACACTTGGATGGTTGGCGTCGCCGTTATCATCAAATCCTCATTTTGACCTGGGTATCAGGTGAATGACTTGGTGATTATTCCCAAAGACACAAGTACTTCAACGGTCAGTAAAGGGCGAAGATGTAAAACTAAATATGATTAGAAGGTGTTCAAACTATGTAAACTAGGGTTTGAGAAGTCATCTGGTCCACATCGGCCACCTAGTGTTACAATGCTTTGGTTAACAAGCAGCTAGGTTTCATTTTTATTATCCTATTTTTTTTTTCTTGGCAAGGTTTGTTCATGGTACAGCTTTCCTGTAGATTTTATTTGTACTATGTTAAATCTGTACAATATTTTAAACGAAACATGAATATTTTGCTTTGGAAATATGTGGTGATTTGTTTTTCAAAAGATAAATGTGCTCTTTAATTTGTCTTTTATGTATTTATTTATAATTTTTTCTCGATAATCATTGGAGGACGGCCAAAATATCCACCTAAATTGAGGGAGTGTTTGAGAACTGGTTAAAATAGCCAAATAAATAAATAAATATAAAAGTCACTAAAAATAAAAAAGTCAAAAAGTAATATTTGAAAAATAAAAAAAATAAAATATCTCATTCTCTTCATTTTTTTGTTTAAAAAAAAAAAATCATTTCTGAACAATACATTTTTTTTTTATCTTATATTTTAATCAAAAAGTTATTAGAAGTGTCACTTCTCAAACTACCAATGAATGATTGAAGAGTGTTGTGGAAGGTAGAAATTTTCTCCACATGGAAAGCAAGATGAAGTGTTCTTTCTTTTCCTTTGTAAAGAGAAAACAATTCGTCAGCGATTACTCCCGATCTAGAATGGTCGAGAGGATTCTCCGACGATCAAGTTAGAATGCTAATCAGCCATATAATGTATGTTTTTAGAAAGAGTCGTAGTTATCTCAGGTTTGCCCTCCTGCTTCTCTTACTCCCCTTTTTTTAGTGTTATTGTCTCACGTCTCAATTGTTGGATTAACATCTGATTTGAGGGCTCTGCTTGTTTCTAAGCTGTAGTCGGGTAAGTGACCAGGCTGTCTTTTCCTTTTACCATTGGATTGTCCTGCTGCGGGCGGCTTAGATTATGTTAGATGTTAGTAGCCAACTGGCCAGATACTGATTATCTTAATCGGACAATTGTATTGTTTGGATAGGCTAGGCCTACATTCTTGTCTCTGATAATTGTTGTCTTCAAAGTTGACCAAGGATGGATCTAAGGGCTTTCCTATATTCTGTAGATCTCTTTCTAGAAGGAGATCTTACTCATGCTTTGGTCATGTGACATTGTCCCCTTATCTGCCCTTCTAATGGACCTTTTAGTTATCTGGGCTTTTATTTTGGGCCAACTTGCTTGGCTGAGCTTGGATTTGGCCAATGTTTTATCCCTTCACAATTACCTCTCTTCGGCGGTCATCTGTGGAGGATTGCCGAAGACGACACTGCCGATCAAATGGGGCCTCGAGTTGTTATGTTTGCCAGCAACACACGTCTTTTTTTGTTTTTCCATATTAATGATGACATCCGTCATTTCGTCTTTCCGTGCATCGTTTCGCTTCTGACATATTAATTAAAGGGATGTCCCTTGCCCTTTACCACTTTGCTTACTGTTTTCTTAGAAGTCTATACGCGTTCCTCTCTGTCTACCATTTGAAGTTTCAGTTCGTTCCTCTTGTAAGTTCATTCTTTCTTTTTGTCGGTTTCTTGTGATTTCGAATTTCCATTTGTTTCACTTTTTCTGCTTTTACCCACCATGAATCGCCTAAGACATGTCTTTGAGTTTGAGGAGAATATCACGGAGTTTAGAATTCTGTATAATATTCCTGATGACGTCGTCATTCGTCTTCTTACTTCTGACTATAGCATTGCTGAGGGGTCAGAGGAACGGATTCCTCTCCCTCTAATAGACATTGTTGAAGAGGGAGTTCGGTTTCCTCTACATCCTTTCCTTAGGGAGGTGCTTTATTTTTATGGAGTACCTCCTTCTCAGCTTTCTCCTAACTTTTTCAGAATAGTTATGGGCATAATCGCCTTGAACGGTATCTTAGGAATCAATTTAGGACTTCCTGAAATTAAGTATTGCTATAATTTCGTTCCTCCTACCAAAGAGAGGTCAAAATTTTATTTCAAGCCCAGATTGGCGAAGCGTCAACTTGTTCAGATGCTTCTTGATTCTGGTAAAGGTGTTAACGATGTATACGTCATAATAGAGGGGAATTAGGAATTCTCTCTTGGTGTCGATCGGATCCGACCTATCCCTAAGGTCACCAGCTAACCAGGTTAATCTTCTTCTGCCTACTTGCTTCTGATGCTGCTTTTCATAATATTTGTTTTTATTGCTCTTTCGTTGCCCTTTTCAGCCCGAAAAGTGTTTTCACATCCTAGCGAATAAAAAGATCAAGTAAACCTTCCCCTTCTTCAGTAAGCCTGGTCATACAGAGGTTCACCAGAACAACAATGCCAAAGTCGGGTGGCCCATGTGCTGCTTTCCAACGTTCCCTATTACGGCATCGTGATTGCAACTGACAGCATAGATCTTGGAGCCGATAGCGGCTTTGATTTCTACATTCTTCCTCGTCTTCGAAAAATATTGAGAAAATAGCACCTAAAGTAGAACAGCCTCAAAAAGAGTCATCTAGTTCGAAGGCTACTATATCGGACATCATATCGCCGAAGAACTTCTTAAAGATTGCTGCCGTTAGGAAGCGTCAACGGGAAGGTGAATCCGCCTCAGCCTCCTAAGCTGTCTCTGATTCTATTACCTCCAATTGGCCCCAACAATCGCCGATTGTGGTGGTAGATGATGCCCTTCATTCCCCTGTTGCGGCAACCACTGGAAGCACTCGTCCACAATCTTCGAGTCAGAGATTGGGCAAGCGTCCTGCAGATCAATCAATGGAGGTTCGAAAGAAGAGTCAATCAGACCCTTCTCTTGTTCTTACTGTTGCTTCTTCTCCAACCTCTACTTCGGAAACGGCTGTCGTCAGGTCGTCGATTATCCTCATGCTTGCTTTGAAAGATCGGTAGATAACAAATGTTGACATGGCTATAGGTAACGCCGAAGTTGCCTCCGCAATTATCCGTAGTTCCATTCTCCCTACAGATGCTATTCAGCTGGCCGAACAGTCAGATGCAACCGTCTTCTTGCAAGCCTTACATTTTTCCTTAGTGGTAAGTGCTTACCATCATCATGCTTTAAGGTGTTCTTGAATTTCTTCCAACCTTATGTATTTCTTCTTTTTGTTTTTACAGGGTTTGTTTTCTACTTATGAGGCCATGACTCGTCATTACAAAATAATCAAAGCAACTAACAAACTGAAAACCTTCAGGGATAGACAAAACAAGAAGGTGAAGGAGGTTGAATTTCGGCTGGTGGCTTTAGACGCAAGGCAGCGGAAGCTGAGAAAAAGCTTTAGACGATGGATTATTTTTTGAAGTCTTCGTCGCAAGAGATTACTAGTCTGAAGGAGGAGAAAGAGCAACTCTCTGCTTCTCTTACTGCTTCTAAGGAAAATCTTGCCGATGTGGTCAAGGCTGCCAAGGAGGGGTGATGCAATGAGGCCACCGTCGTTTATGAAGTGCAGTTTGCCAAACTGGAGAACATGCTCTTTGAAGACGGCCGGATGGCTGCACTTCAAGCTACCAACGTCCTAACGGAGTCTGAACTAAGGAAGAACATTCTTACCCTCGCTCAGATGCCTTGGAAAAACCAAGTGGAGCCAAAGGGGCTGGAACTGAAAACCCTCCTACAGCAAAGTGATGAATTGAGTTGATATGTTAGTTTAGTTTTTGTTTTTGTTTTTTTGTTTTTTGTTTTTTTTTGTGTTTTCTTTCCTCATTATTTGTTTTGTTTTGTATTTGTTTTTTTTTTTTTTTGACAATTGATGTATGTCCTCCTTGATGGTTTAAAGATTTTATGCTATGGAATTATCCCACTTAGCTTATCTTTCATTTATGCATTGTTTTTGATCGTGTGAATGGAGATTTAACTGTTAAGTCGAATCATCTATTTTTTTGTTCATGCCGATGTATACTAAAAGAAACCTTTATTTTAGTGAACCTTCATAAGCTCATTTTGATTTAGAAAACCCTCGTAAGCTTGTGCCTTACTCCGAGTAAGAGATTGACGTTATGTTTATCGATGTAATATCCTTAGAATAGATTTTTTAGAGAACCCTCATAGGCTTGTTCTTTGCTCCAAGCAAGAGATCGGTGTCGTTTTTGCCGAAGTACTATCCGTGGTATAGGTTTTTAAGAAAACCCTCATAGGTTTGTTCCATGCTTCAAGCAAGAGATCGATGTCTTATTTGCAGATATACTATCCTTGGGATAAGTTTTTTTTTTTTTTAGAAATCCCTCATAGGTTTGTTCATTGCTTAAAGTAAGAGATCGGCGTTGTCTTTGTCGATCTACTATCCTTGGGATAGTTTTTTTTTTTAGAAAAGCCTCATAAGTTTGTTCCTTGCTTCAACCAAGAGATCGACGTTGTCTTTGTCGATGTACTATCCCTAGGATAGGTTTTACGGTTTTGGGGGCTTTGGTTTTAATGTGCTTACATCACCTGGGCACGTGTCAGTTATTCGAAACGTCCATCAGTACTTGGTATTAAATGTCGGGGCACGTTATTCGAACGAAATGACATGCGCATCGAGAATGGTGCGTCGTTTCTTTTTCCTTTACACGAATAGAAGTACAAATCATTGCATTGATATTTGGGATAGTTGCTTCGACAACATTTTCGACCAAAACATTGTCTGACATTGACACCTGTTCTCATGCTATCATTTAAAAAACCTCCCCTAGGTACCCTTTTCTTTCCATTGTAAGTTCTTTCATCATTCTCTTGGTATTTTAATTTTCATGGATTTGTGCAGAGATAGGGAAATACGCTTATTTGCTCAGTAGTCCAAAGGGTTTAGCTCATTTTCGAACTACCTATGATATTCTTGTTAGTGTGAACGTGGAACCTCCTCTCCCCAATGATAATTCCTAGTACCCTAGTGACGATAGGGTTCCTTGGCTAGTTTCTACCATAGTAGATGGCGGGGTTAGGTTCCCTCTCAATCTCTGCCTATGGGAGATTCTTTTGCCCTAGGGAGTTCTTCCATTTTTGCTTAATACAAACTTTTTCAAAATTGTGAATGCGATGCTCGACCTAAACAACATGTTGAACCTTGATTTAGGCTTGAAAGAATTGCAATATTGTTACAGTCGATCAACAAGGTGAGGGTAATCATGAACAACAAGCGAGTCTTGTGCCGACGGAGTTATCGGAATTTCGGCACCAGAGATGATAGGAAGACGTCGTCTAATAAGGCAATTGGAGGCGGCATTGAGAACAAATCAAGAGGCGGGTGGGCGAGGGTCATATAGATCGCCAGAG